AGGCCGCGCGCGTCCGGCGTTCCGGGCTTCCGCGCCGGCGTCCGGGGCTCCCGGAAGAGGTTTGTCCGTCACCCGGGCTCGAGGCTCCAGCCCCGCAGGACCCAAGACCTTTCGGTTCCCGGCCATCGCCCAGCGGACGACGAAGTGAATTTGAAGCTGTTTCCACGTCCCCGTCCCCTGGCTTAGGACGTCTGAGTGGCTCGTTTACTCCTGTGGCGTCTCGCGTGCTCGGCCGAGATCAGCCGTGCGCGCTCCGATGTCGCCTGGCGCTGAGCACAGGGCCGGGCACTCGCATGGGCCACTGCGTGGAGGCCGACGCCCAGCCCCGGGGTTTGGCCGTGGCGGCGCCCTGGCGGAGCCCTCTGAGCGAGAATCACAGACGGAGAGGGACTTTGTTCCCTTCAGCAGCATCGAGAACCGTGGCGTTTACCATAGCCTGGCTGCCATCTAAGCTTTTTCACGTGTCGTTCGCCGCCTCTTCGTCCCCCTTACTCTTCGAAAGATGTGTAGAACTGGACTATGAAAAGATCGTGCCTATCACGCTGCTTCCCGGCTGCCCAGCCCACAGGCTTACCCCACTACACAGTATTATGGCAAGACAAGTTAGCAAAGATAGTATTTCAACTTGACTTTTCGCAAGACATGACTGTTGGAAAAAAAAAAAAAAAAAAAGACATCTGAAAATGCAAAAGCAAAATGACGGTATCTTGCTTTGAAACTTTACCAACCGTCTCATGTTTAGAGGAACCAATAAGATAAAGTCTTAGAATTTAAAACCAAGAGAGCCAATTCTGATTAGCTATTAAAAATAGCTTATCAGACCGGGCTCGGTGGCTCAGTCTGTAATCCCAGCACGTTGGGAGCCCGCGGGTTCCAGACCCGCCTGGGCAACTTGGCAGGACCTCGGCTCCACAATAAATCAAAAATTAGCCGAGCGTGGTAGCGCGCACCTGTAGTTCCGGCTACTTGGAAGGCCGAGGTGGAAGGATCACTGGAACCCGGCAGGTCGAGGCTGCGGTGGCCCGAGCGGCTACTGCACTCCAGTCTGGGCGACAGAGTGAGACTCCAACTCACAAAAAAAAAAAACTCATCAGTAGATAACTATTGCAGTAAGTCTTGGCGGTGCACTGGGAAAGAGGAAAAGGAATGTAAGTTCAAAGTGAATCTTCTATTTTTTTTTTTTAGATGAATTCTCCCTATGTTGCCCAGGGTGGTCTCTAACTCCTGGGCTCAAACAATCCTGGTTCCACTTCCCAAACTGCTGGATTACTTACAGGCATGAGTCATCAAACCTGGCCAAATTAAGGAGCATTTTAGTTCACATGCTTCTCAGATTTCACCATTCTAAGACTTGGTACTTTTCTAAAGGGCTACTGTACACTAGGCAACACTCTGTAACAGAGCAGTAAGAAATGAGGCACTGCTTATGATTTTGGTAAATTAAATGTGGTAAGAGAATTTCTATGAAGGGGAAAATTTAAAAATCCCCAATATTTTATGTTCACCCCTCACAGGTTTTCTTTAAAACCAATCTTTAAAAATACAATTTTAAGCCGGGCTCGGTGGCTCAGCCTGTAATCCCGCGCCTTTGGGAGGCTGAGGTGAGTGGATTGCCTGAGCCCGCAGGTTCGAGACCCGCCTGGGCAGCGAGACCTCATCTCTACAAAAAATCAGCCAGGCGTGGTAGTGCGTGCCTGTAATTCCGGCTACTCCGAAGGCTGAGGCGGAAGGATCGCCGGAGCCCAGCAGGTCGAGGCTGCGGTGGCCGGGAGCGGCCACTGCACTCCAGTCTGGGTGACAGTGAGACTCCAACTCAAAAAAAAATAATAATACAATTTTAAAAATTGACATAAAAGTGAAAGCTCCAAGAATCACACTGCATCTGATCTTCTATTCACACAAAGTTGAATCCAAACTCAAGTCCCAAATGGCCTCATTCTAGTCTCCCTACTTGATTTCCCAAGTAAAGAAATTTAGTAAGTGATGAAGAGAGGACCCCAAAAGGTAAAATTTATCTTTTTTTTTAGTATATCTATATTTTTATATGGGGGGGAGGGAATAAAAAGCAAGCAGCCCCTCTGCTGGGCCCTACTCAGGGGCAGCTTCTTGTTCCATGGGGTCAGGAAAGACTTTGAAGAAATAAAAGTTAGCTGGGCTCGGTGGCTCAGCCTGTAATCCCACACCTTTGGGAGGCGAGGTGAGTGGATTGCCTGAGGTGAGTGGACTGCCTGAGCCCGCGGGTACGAGACCCGCCTGGGCAGCGAGACCTCATCTCTACAATAAATCAAAAAATTAGCCGGGCGTGGTAGCGCGCGCCTGTAGTTCCGGCCACTCGGAAGGCTGAGGCGGAAGGACCGCCGGAGCCCAGCAGGTCGAGGCTGCGGTGGCCGGGAGCGGCCACTGCACCCCAGTCTGGGCGACAGAGTGAGACTCCAAATCAATAAAAAAAAAAAAGAAATAAAAGTTATTTGGAAACTCCAGGTGCAGTTGCTTTGCGTGTGGTGACGGGGAGGAGGGACGAGGCGAAGTGCGAGGGCCCCTCGCCCTCCATCTTGCCTCAGACTACATCCTGGAGCCCTGCTGGCCGCGCCACCTTCACTCCTGCTTCTTGGGGTTGTTGACGGCCACATAGTGGTAGAGGAGGACTAGCAGGAAGAGCGACACGCCCAGCATGTTGGCGAAGATGGTGAGCTGTACGTCGGTGATCATCCTGCAAGGACAGGCGCTGAGGCCGGTGGCGCGCGGCCGGCCCGGCCCCGGCCCGCCGGTAAAATTTATCTTGAAAACAGTTATCAACTTTTAAACTAAAAGCAAGATAGTTACCACAGGCTAATATATTAAGCAACAGCTGGCTTACTATGGCTTTCATGTACTAAAAGAGTTTAAAATCACATCTATTTTTTAAAAAAATGAATGAAACATTACTTATCAAAATTGTATTTACATTTGAAGTTACCAGTTTAATCATGGGAAATCTCTTAAACACAATATGAAATAAGGCTGTTTAAAGGTTCATTCTTTTTTGATAAAAATACTAGATTGTGAGAATATGTATATTAAAGTCAATCCTTGAACTATTAGTACATTTTAATCAAAGATTATGTTGCATTTTAAATTTCAGGTCAGAAGCGCCTGGCTAGCTCAGTCAGTAGAGCATGAGACTCTTAAATTTCAGGTCAAAGAAAAAGATTCACACGTATGTTATACACAAGGACAGTTTTAATCCTGCATTCTCCTGCAGTAACAATCCATGGCTGTAATGGATTGAAACTGCATTTGCCCAGAACTGTGAACATTAAGAAACTTTACATGAAGTCACGTGTTGAAAGCACACAGACATTTCCAGCACCAACAGAACACACACATACACATACCAAATGGTCTTGATGGGTAAATTTGCTTCACTTGGTAATTCTATTTAATAAAATTCATTAATGCAGAATTTCATTTTTAAATTTTACATCTTTATAACATGTTTTTCTAAGATTAAATTTTTTTAAAAATTCAAAATTATAATTTTCATGGCAATAAACAATGGTTTCATGAGTTCTAAGTTTCTTTTTTTTTGAGTTGGAGTCTCTGTCGCTTAGGCTAGAGTGCAGTAGCATGCTCATGGCCACCCCCAGTGTCAACCTGCTGGGCTCCAGCGATCCTTCTGCCTCAGCCTTCCAAGAAGCCAGAACTACAGGCATGCGCTACCACGTCCAGCTAATTTTTTTTTTTTAATTTATTGTAGAGAAGAGGTCTCACCAAGTTGCCCAGGTGTGTCTCAAACCCGCAGGCTGAGGCAATCCACTTGCCTTGGCCTCCCAAAGTGCTGGGATTACAGGCTGAGCTGAGCCTGGTCGGTTCTAAGTTTTTTAAAGGTGTCTATAGCAATTTAAAATACCACAAGTCTTCTTTTCAATTTGCAGCACCTGACTTAAAGGTTTAAATTCATCCAATGCATTCATTAAAACTGTAGTTTTTCTTGTGAGAAAACATGTTTCAGTTGCTTTTCCCAGAATGTATACTGAGCATGGTTGTATGTTATTTTAAATTGGTGAGTAGAATTTTACTCACATCATTTATAGCCAGAACAAGAATTCCCAGCCTCTCTGAATGGCCTTCTTCTCAGCACAATAATAAAAATGAATGTCTAAAATGGATTTAGGGTCTGCCCCACTTAACATTACAAAACATGTTTCCAAATATTCTTAGAAAATATGACTTTTAGCCGGGCTTGGTGGCTCAGCCTGTAATCCCATGCCTTCGGGAGGCTGAGGTGAGTGGATTGCCTGAGCCCGCGGATTCGAGACCTGCCTGGGCAACGAGACCTCATCTCTACAATAAATCAAAAAATCAGCCGGGTGTGGTAGCACATGCCTGTACTTCCAGCTACTTGGAAGGCTGAGGCAGAAGGATCGCTGGAGCCCAGCAGGTCGAGGCTGCGGTGGCCGTGAGCAGCCACTGCACTCCAGTCTGGGCGACAGAGTGAGACTCCAACTCAAAAAAAAAAAAAAGAAAAGAAAATATGACTTTTAAACATATGCATAATAGTTTACCATATAATGACCATCACTTATTTAACAATTTCCCAATTGTTATTTCATATCATTTGCAATTTTGAGTATTATAAATAACATGGTAATGAATACCTTCATTCATAAGTTTTATGCACGACTATTTAAGATAATGTCAAAAAAGTAGCTTACTGGTTCAAACAGTGCACATGGTTTTAAGGCTTTTAATATATTTTACCAAGTAATCTCCAGAATAGCTTGAATAATTCCTACCAACTATATGTTACTGTACCCACAAAGTGGACCTGGTAACAATGAAACAAATTCAATCACAAATCTATTAGTCTCACCCATCTCAAAACTATCACATCAAAGAAGCAAGGAGACATATTACTGGTGAGGAAGCCAAATTCAGATTCTTTAAAAAAATCATCCAGCTTCAAATCAGTAAAATAAACAACCTTCCACAAAAAGTCTACAGGGTTTTACCAAAAATAAAAAGTTAAAAAGAGAGAAAGAGAAAAGTCAGTACCAAATGGCCAAAATTTTTTATTTGACTAAATTCTATTTCATGCATAAGCATGACGGTCTCCCCTGTGTATCAGACTTTGGCAATAAAAAAAACAAGCAGCCTTGTACAGAACAGTGAAAATGCCAAGGACGAGGGTAGTCTACAGTTTTACTGTAGGATAAATATATATATATATATATATATTTTTGTTAAAAGGCCTCTCTTCTCTTGGCCATATCAACTTTCAGTTCAGGTCATTAAATATGGACACATTTTCAAAATCACTTCTTTACTTCTCCAAGATCTTCAATGCTGTCATCATCTACCTAAAAAACACAAATTATCACATCTCATGAGTTGTGGCAGCAAATAAAAAATGGAAGCAACTTGCTTTAAAACCTTATTTCTAGGGATCTATGCATCCCCTGTACTCACCTCTGGCCATTTTTCCTGAATGACTTCAATGATATCATCTGTAAAGTCTCCCTGAATGATAATTTCATCTTCCCCTGTTACTGAGGCACCACAGGAGAATTTTTGAGCAAAAAATCTTTGTGCTTCTTTAAGATCAATTTCTGTTTTGTAAAAAAAAAAAAAAAAAAAAAGTTAGACTATAATTGGAATTGTGCATCAAAGATATTTTTCCATTTTGAAATTTAATCTGCATGCTAATTTACAAAACAAATGTATGTTAATGAGTTTCACATTTCTTTCAGAACAATAATTACAAACTACTATAGGCAGAGATCTTAACTCAACCTAAGTTGTTAACGTCAAATAAATGCTCAATATATAAAAATAGTCATCTATACTATCATACAGTAACGGTAAAACCAAAATGAATCTAGGAATACATTAATTCCAAACCTTGCATGTATACTTCCAAGTAGGAATGAAGTTCTTTTGCCTAAGTTCCTTTTACAGAAGAAAAAATTACAGCAGAGAAACAACCTTCGTATTTACAATGAGGTCTACTACTGACTATGTCAATCTGCACCTAGTTTCACTATTCACTCGAGGCCTCTAGGAAGTGAGGGACTCTGAAGCAGGACATTCTGCTGACACTCACCTTCCCCCATCCTCTACTGTCACCTGCAGAGGGGACAAGCCATTTTGCAACTTTTGCCACCAAGCCTGCAGTTTAGAGCAGCAGCACTGGCAGGTTGCAAAGGGAAGTATATCCAGCCCCCGCCATCCAACATAAAATGTGGCCAAGCAGGAATTCCAGAAAGGAAAAAGTGACTCCGTCCCCTCTACAAAAGATTTAAACATTTCTCCAAAATTTGACTTTGAAGCTATAGTTAGAAATGCAAAAGCTCATTTTGTATCTTCTTAACAAAAAATAGACCTGTGAGCCGGGCTCAGTGGCTCAGCCTGTAATCCCACGCCTTTGGGAGGTTGAGGTGAGTGAATTGCCTGAGCCCACGGGTTTGAGACCCGCCTGGGCAACTTGGCGAGACTTCATCTCTACAATAAATCAAAATGAGCCGGGTGTGGTAGCGCGTGCCTGTAGTTCTAGCTACTTGGAAGGCTGAGGAGGAAGGATCGCTGGAGCCCAGCAGTTCGAGGCTGCGGTGGCCGGGAGCTGGCACCACACTCCAGTCTGGGCGACAGAGTGAGACTCCAACTCAAAAAAATAAAAATAAAAAAAAATAAAAAAAAAAAACGAATGAATGAATGAATGAATGAATGAATAAATAAATAAATAAATATCATTAAGCCTGAACTTACCGAAAGTTGCAAGGCCACACACTCTTGTTACATATTTCTTCTTTGCTCTGGGAATTTTGGCTATAGTAACCTTTTGTGGTACAGTCTTCTTTTTTTGTTTTATTTGACCTCTTCCACCTTTATTCATTAAGAAAGAGCTTAGCATCAATTGTTTTGTTTCTAACATAATCACAGACTACTATGTCTTTAAATTTCAAAGGGTTTATATTTCTTTTCTCTAATAGAAATTAATAAATACATGCATGTATTCATTCAATAAATATTAATTAAGCACCTAATATGTGCCCAGCACTGAGGACACAAGATATATAGAACATAGGGTCCTCCAGGGTCTCACAGTCTAGTGAAGGGAGTAAAAAAAATTTTTAAAATGCAATTACAGAACCTCATATGTTTTGATTGAAGGATGTTTATGGATAAACAGCAGATGAAGTCAGAAAAGCAAAAGGTTGCATACCAGTCATTAAAGGGCTAGTGCATCAAGCTCTGGAATTTGACTTTACGTTGTGAAAAAGGAAAAGCTATGCAGGAGTGAAATAACTACAATTTATGTTTTGTCAAGCTCTGTAGTCAGGTGAATCTGTGAAGAATAAAGCTGACTGGCCACTACAGAGGCTCCAGAATTAGCTCTGGCAGAAATTAATCAACACCTAAACCAAGGCAGTGGCAACAGTAATGGCCCCTAGGCACCAGCAGAAAGGGAGGAGGAGAAAAACAGAATTTTGAGCTGACTAAAGGGAGTAAAGGTTTCTGACTCAGATGACTAGATGAACTGTGCTGTCACTAAACAAAATGGGGAAAAAGAAAGAGGTCAATTTGGGACCTAGTAAGATTAATTTTGAATGTGCTGTTTGAGGTGCCTATGGGACCATGTACATTTCCAGTCCAGAGACACAGGCCAGATCCACAGATACACATTTGGGAATTTTTCAGGGTATAGTGGAGACAGAAGTTAGGAATGTGACAGGATCATGTAGGAAGAACATGCAGAATGAGAAGAGGGTCTAGGATAGA